TCTGAAATGATCTGTCCATCCACTGAGCGGACTGCAGTCATCTGCAAGGAGGGCTTAGAGTTTAGTTTTCTCAGGGCTTGGTAGGCAGGGCGACAGTTATTAACCAAGAAATGGCCTTCAACCTCCTCAGCAAGATTCCTGATGAACTGTTCCTTGTCCCTTCTCGGCAGTGTCCGAGCTTTACATACCAAAGAGTGACACAAGTCCTGATTGCCATTCAACCAGACCATGCGACACATTAGCCTGGCCTCCAATGTCTCCAGAGATATGAAATTTTGTCTTGCCCTCGGGCATATGCCAATGGACTCCTGTGCTGCTTCAAGCATTTCATACTTGAAGGACTCCCACAGAGCAACTGGGTCCATCACGTTTTCAAGTTCTGTGAATCGATCAGAGACTGCTGTGGCAAACCCACAGGCACACTCCTCCTCCCTCAGTCTGTCCAAGTGAAACACCCTAGAGTGGCCACTAGATGGATGAGGAGTTTTGAAGTGCACCCGTAGGGTAGCCACTACCAGCTTATGGTCAGTGCTACAGAACTCGGTACTCTAGTAAACCCTGCAATTATGGAAAACCTTCCATCGAGTGCTGACAAGAATGTGGTCGATCTCCTTGGCCATAGCACCCGCATTGCTATACCATGTCCAGTGATGTGAGTAGGAGTGCTGATACCAGGAGCCAGAAATCCTCATTTTCTGGGATTTAGCAAAGTCTCAGAGAAGGAGGATGTTCTCACTGCTGGGATCAGCTCCTGAGCCATGAGGGCCGACAGACATCTCGTAGCCAGCCTGATCGGATACTGCGAATGTCTCACTGGGGGCAAGTGTCTGCCACGGATGCAAGTTTGGTGTAGAGCGCCTCTTTCTCATCTAGTTTGTAAACATCGGTAGGAGCGTACACAGTAATAACAGACATGAAGCCAAAAGCATGATTCAGTCTCAATGCTATAATACACTCATCAACCGACGTTAGCTCAACTACTGAGGGTTGGAGTCGGCTGGAGATGGCTATGGCTACTCCCTGAAGGTGATGACCATTGCCACAGCCTGGTCAGTAGTAGATGTAGCCACCCATACCGATCGTGCCGCTGCCAGGTCTTCTCACCTCCGAGCGGGCAGCCACCTCAACTCCCAACCGCTCCAATTCCCTCGACAGCAGAGGTAACCTCTCATCTTGTCGCGAGGACCTAATGTTCAAATAGCCTCCCTGGCTAGCTCGCCTGAGGTTAGGCCTCGGGCGGTCACTCCGGGTGGACGCCACCTCTGCCACTCCCGCCGACGCTGCCCCAAATAAAGGGGGGCAGCAGGCTGTGGGGCCCAACGTCCGCTGTGGGGTTCCCTTAGGTTTTGCCCCACAGGCCTCATGCAGGGTTAGCACCTGCCAGGGTGCAAGTGGGACGAGTAGCTCTCGTTCCGATCCTGCGCCCCACCATTTGTCCTCCCGCCCTTGCTGGGGGAGAGGGTTTGCTCCCCTCCCCCCAGCATAACTATTTAGTTGTGACGTTGCCGGTGAGTTTTCTTGGGATAGAAGGGCTGGCAAGGCCCATCTCCCCCAAGCCTCCCATTTGCCCCAGGATAGCTGAGGGGCAGGAGCTGGTATGGAGCCAGGGAGTGTTCACACGCCGGTGGGCCATAACTCCATACCTCTGGGTCCTCCTGCTGCTCCGAGATCCCCCACAGTTCAGCCTGGGACTGCAAGGTGCCCAGTTTCCATGGGTGCCCACGAGGGGACACTGCAGAAGTCTCGATGATTTAGAGGCTGTGAACTGGCAGGGGAGGCTTAGGCAGAGCTGCTCCCTTTTTCGCACTAGGCTAGCTAGCAGTGGCAACTGCAGGTGAGAAGGCATGCAAGCACTTAACACTATCTAGGCTTCCAAAACATCGCTTCACATCACCCTGACCATGAAGCACCCATCCATCCAGTGATAGTAATGGTAATTATAACAATTATAATGAAAATAATAATGATAATGACAATGTTAATAATAGAAATATAATATAATATAACTAATAATGATAATAATAATATAATGAATATAATGATACTAATATTAACAAAAATAATGATAATGATCATGATAATAATGATGATAATAAGAATGAGGATGATGATAATATTAATAATATTAGTAATAATAATAATGATAATAATGAAAATAATAATGATGATGATAAAAATGATATCAGTAAAATAAAGATAATAATAATAATGATGATAATAATAATAATGATAATAATAATTATCATTATTATAATACTAGTAATAATCATGATATTAAAAATAGTAATAATAATAATACTAACAATAATAATAATATTTATAATAACTATAGTTATAATAATAATGATGTCATTCATGATAATGATGATAATAATCAAAATAATAATAATAATAATAACAATAATAATAACAACTATAATTATAATAATAATAATAATAATAATAACTACAATTATAATAATAATGATAATAATGATGTCATTCATAATAATGATAATGA